CTGACCTCAGCAGCCCAGTCCAATCGAAGCTGCCAATACTGGCTACAAGCCGACCAATCTACCAAGCATCCCTGGCTACCTGGGCCCATGCGCAGGGCCGGGCCTTTCCCCCCTGCCCAGGTGACTAGAGCATCGCCTCCCAGGTGCCAGGCTTTTGTCATGCAGACAAGGTGGGAGATCCCCGCCCTGAGGGATTCAACATCAGCCTCTCAGGCTGGTGGAGACAGATCTCTGGAGAGGGGTGCCGACAGGGGCATTTCTGCCACACATCTAACCTCAGCAGTCTTTCCTGCCTTGAGCAGGGGGCTGGACCTGATGATCTCTGAGGTGCCTTCCAGCCCCTAACTTCTATGAATCTATTAATCATATGTGCTGACTAAACTGGTTTCCCTGACAGCATGTAGTCAGAGGTAATATGTACCCAGTTTGCTACTGAAGACCACTGTACCCACCACCTTGTTCCTTAGCCAGGAAATGTTTTCAGGGTATCATGTTTTCCTTCTCTACACTTCCAGACATACAGTTAGCAAATGGACCCCCTACAACTTGTACTGCTGCCTCCCACATAGATTTCTTTGTCAGGGGTAGGCATGTCTGGGGCTGCCTCTGGGACTGTTCAAAATTAAAGGAAAATCAGACATTGTTATTTCCCTTGCTGCAAACTAGCAATTGTGCCTGGGGTGGAATGTGCTGTCTACATCAACGAAAGACAGGTCCCCATCATCTGGTCTTTTTATGTCCAATCTGTCTGGCTGTCAGTAGACTGTACAGTCTGCTCCTAAGCCAGTGGATCTGCATTCCTCTGTCTTAAGCAGCAAATCATGGTTTTACCAGATCCAGACTTCATTTAGACTTCCCTTATCAAGCTGACAGATTTCTTTTATACAGTGCTTTAGGGGCTGCACAGCTGGATTCCAATTATAGTGGTTTGATCTTGCTGTAATTAAAACCACCTCCTTTTGTAACTGGCTTACTGTACAATGGAAAGAGGGTGAGTTTGTGTATGGGTATTTTCAGGTGGGCC